TTGGTTTAGCCACTTGATTCAGACTTAAATGAGGAAAAGATTTTTTAAAAAGGAAAAAAAAGGACTGAGGATCATTCATTGAAAATCTGAATAAGGCGATCGGGAGTCTTTAAGAGTGTCAGTCATACACATTTGAAGTTCAACAAGATAATTTGTCTCTAGTACACAATTCCCTCCAGCAAGGAGAAGAGGGGGCAAGCTGAGGGACCCTAAACTAATAGACAGATGCTAGTTTCCAACAAAAGAGAGATTGCCATAATGATTTAATTTAAAGTAGATAAATATTTTGTTTTGTAAACCAGAGTTCCCACAGTATGTGGGCCTTAGGCAATCAGAGATCACAGTGGTCTTATTCAGCGACCCATGTAAAATTTGCAAAGGAAATTGGACCTCCTTGAGCTGCTATATTGAATATTCCACTGATGACAGGGTAATATTATGCCTTGAGTTATTTTAGCATTTCCAGAACCATACCATATCTTTTAGTTAAATTATTTTTTTCAGTAATCTGGAACTCCTCCAAAAGGAGCTTGAACCATGACGACTTTTGAATCAGTAAAGAGCACTCCAGCTTTCTCAGCTCAAGCTACAGTGTCTGCTTCTTCCTTCTTCTAATGCTTTAAGTAAACTTTCCAAGACAGACATGATTAAAAATCTCTGTCCATATTTTTTTTTACTATTCCTAGAAAAGCATACACCTATTTTATGTCTCTATAGGGATATAAGGAACATAACTAACAAGTTTGACTACTACATACTTATAAACTGTGTAACCAGAATTCATAAAATATACATCTTTAACCCTTATGGAAAAACTGTCACAGATATGTTAAAGGCCGAATTCACATTGAGATAAAAAAATATGTTCGCCCATAATAGCTAAATCCTCTGACCATAATAACAAAATGAGAAATTGTCATTAAAACCTCATAAAAATGCTAAAATTAAATCTGCAGAGACCCTGTTTTCAAATAAAGTCACATTAAAATACCAGGATTGAACACTTCAACATATTTTTGGAACACAATTAAATGCTCAGCAAACAAGCTATAGCATTTATATTTTTCTTTCCTCATCTAAAAATTTTACTGGGCAGCAGTTGTCAACAGGACCAACTTTTAGCTGCAAACTTTAAAGCAGGATCACTGAATTTTGAAAGTCTAGTAAAAAAAATATCAAGGTCAAATGAATGAATATTACATACACACACACACACACACGCCAATTTCTTTCTCCATTACAAACTCTGCTATAACATTTAGAGACACCATATTATTTCAGATAATATATACAGCCCCTGACTGAAATATTCATTACGTATATAAGAATTAATATTCAGTCATAGGATTATGTTTTTTGTATGATCTGTTTTATAGATAATCAGGTTTTTACTATTCCAATTTCTGCTTAGTTTGAGAATAACATGTTATATTGTGACAATGTAAACTGAATCCCAAATCACCTGAGATTGTGTATGAGTCCTTACAGAAAGAAAGACCGAGTCAGGTTCCAATATGCTTAAAAGAGTGATGGTCCTTGATCAGATTATTGATAGATGCCAAGGGTAAGGAGAGTAATGTGCTGTAGGAGCAGAAGTTGTGATCATTATTATAGTAAAATAGGCATTTATATGATGATGGGGAAGAAAGGTCTTGGAAGTGTGGAACCCAGTAGGATTACCCCTTGCCAATCTATTTAGGTTTGAAATTTTAATGGAAAGTTATTTCATTCATTCATTCATTCATTCAACAAATACCTACTGGGAACTTATATGCCTAAGAATTTATCTATAAGGATAAAATAGCAAGCAAGAAATTCCATCTGTTCTTTATGCTACAATGGATTTTTTTTCAGAATGATATATATTCATAAATTTTTATTGAATCACAAAATAGTTACCAAGATAGACCACATTTGTGACTATAAAGACAACCTTTATAATGTAAAGATTTAAGTTATATGCAGTTCTGTTCACTGACTATGATGGCAGTCAATTAGAAATTGCCCACGTGGGCAAGGGAAAGGGTTCAAGGGAAAGGGTTCCCCTCTGGAGGGATGGGCTGGCTGAGAAATAAAAGGTAAGAAAAGTAGTACTAGGAAATAACCACAGAAAACAAAAACATAATTTCAGAGTAGAGGCAGCCATAGACCAAGGTGACCAGACGGGTATAGCTTTTAACAAAGAAATGGAGCCTGAACCAGGTTTATTTATAGGTGTTTATTTACAGGTTTATTTATAGCCTATAGATGAGACATAGTGATCATCCTCTCCAGTGTCTCACTCCTGACAACTCATGACTACTACCGGCGTCTCCTCAAGGCCACCCAGATCACTGGTGGGCCAGCTGCTTCTTTGCTAAGTCCACTACTCCATTCATGGCCACAGTATTGGAGTCCCCAGAACACTCAGAATCCACCTTCACTAGCATGGTCACCAGTGACCTGGCTCCAGAAACCATGAGGAAGCAGCCGGTCAGCCAGCGGAGCCAGGCCTCAGTCCTGATCTGGTGGTCCACTGATGGGTTTTTCCAAGGTGCTACCTTGACTCTTGCCCACTCCAACTGGTAGGCTAGGCAAGCAGAGACCAGCTGGGTTCTTCCACATGAAGATGACAGGCACTTAGCCAGAGACCCCTCCTCTCCAAACCACAGTGGCCTTTCCTGACCCCCATAATTGTGCCTTGCTCCAAGCAGAAAATAAACTCCAGGTTAACAAACATCAGGTTAAAAACAAAAACAAAAACAACACACACACACACACAAAACAACAACAACAACAACAAAAAAAACACCTCAGCAAAATAGGACTAGAAGGAAGTTTCTTCTGTTGTAGGGACAGATGAAGCTAGGCACCTAAGATAGGAAACAGTTTAATTTGTCTGCAGCCAGGTTCAGAGGGCACAGCTTTTGCTGTGGTCAATTACTCCCCTGAACCCCGAGTTCAGGTAGTTCAGAACTTTATTCCAACATGTAAGAGGAGGGGCTCAGAAGTTCACAGTCTGCAGAAGTTCACATAAAAGCAGCTTTTTCCCTCACTGTTTTGGGCAAGTTAACCCTTCAAGGACAACACCTGAGAAGGGGAGAGCTGCTTCTCCCCTTTCTTTCCTCCCCTGCCAGCTGTTACCATGGAGCCCAATTGGTAACTTCTCTTATATTAGAAATATAGTCTCTCTGTGAAGCTCCAGCTCAAGGCCAGAGGACTTGTTAAAGGATTTGTCTTTTTAAAATCACAATTTGCATTTGCAAACACACTTTTACAAACTACTGTACTGAATAAATGTTTGTGATAAACCAGTAAAGGGGCATCGAACACCAGGAGTGCTGATTTCTTACAGGCCAGTGGGCAAGTAATAGAATAACAGGAAAATAGTAAGTTTACCTACATTGAACTCTTTTGTAGAGAATTTTTTGCTAATAGTCCTAAAATAAATTAAGGTCAAAATTTCTGGAGAAGATAAGATTTTCGGTGGAGGAGGGGGTCCTGTTTACACACCAGTATGATGAAAACACACCTATAAAATACCAGAGCTAAATATGGTAAAATTTGAAAGCTTTTCTTAAGAATTTAATGAAAGGAAAGACAAAAGACAAATAAAATTCAGTCTCAACATTTGTGTTTAATATTCTTGAAAGGAAATTGACCACAACACTTGGAGAGACCAAGAGATGTTTATTTCAGTGGTGTCTGACAGACCAGAGAAAGAGGAGAAAAAGAGATAGGGAAAGAGGAGAGAGAGAGAGAGAGAGAGAGAGAGAGAGAGAGAGAGAGAGAGAGAAGAAGAAGAAGAAGAAGAAGAAGAAGAAGAAGAAGAAGAAGAAGAAGAAGAGGAGGAGGAGGAGGAGAAGGAGAGGGGAGGGGGAAGAGGAGAAGGAGGAGGAAGAGGAGGAGGAGGAGGAGGAAGAGGAGAAGGAGGAGGAGGAGGGGGAGAAGGAGGAGAAGGAAGAGGGGAGAGGAGAGGGGAGGGCAGGGCCTGACAGGAGAGAGTTTTTATAGCCAAAATCTAATGGGGTCTCTGGTTCTGCAAGCTGCCTTGTTGGTGTACAGTGATTGGATCATGCATTAGTTGCTAAGGGTGTCATCTTCTGCCCTCAAGCAGACTGGGCAGGGGCCAGATGTGGGTTTTCATTGCAATAGACGTGGGGTGTTCAGCCTTGAGTGGGGTTGAGTGTTCAGCCTTGAGGCAAATAAATGATAAGGAACCAGATGGGAGAGGGTGAGGGTCTAGTGTTCAGCCCACCCTGCAGCTAACATTTTTTCAGCCTGCTCTGCAGGTAACAATTCTTATGGAAGCTCTCTCCAGTAACCAGGCAAGAAAAAGGAAAGGAAATCTTCCAGATTTAATGCAGAAAGCAATTCTGACCTACTACAAAACACTATGACTATCTACACAAAATCCAGTTGGCTCCATGAAAATAATTTTAGAAATTGTAAGGTAAGTCTACCAAGGTTTGGGGACACAAGATCAGTATACTAATATAAATGTTTTATATCTACTAACAGCCAACACTAAGAAGTTATACTTTTAAACATACTAATTCTAAAAGAAGTATGAAATAGTAATAATTCTCACAAACTGTGTGAATTACTGTAAACTAAAATCCACAAAAATTTAATGAAAGGAAATCAAGATATACATAAATTTAGAGGAATAACTTGAACTTAAAGCATATTATATGATATTACAATGCTAATTCTCCTTCATATTGACCCATCTATGCAATATTTTGTAGAAATTGACAAACTTGTTTTAAAATTCATATTGAAGTGCAAAAGGCCTAAAATTTCCATTCAAAATTTTAAAAAAGAGCCAATTTGGAGAGCTTACACTATCTAGTTTCAAGATTTATTATAAAACTATAATAATCAAGGCTGTGTTTTATTGTTCTCAAGACAAATGATTGGATCAACAGAATTAAAGAGTAGAGAGGTCATACACACTCATCATGTTGGGAAATCAGAGACAACAAAAAATCCTAGAAATCAGAAGCTGCTTAGGAACTGATTTATTTGCAGTGGAACAAACTCAAAAAATAATACAGACCTATCAGATCTGTAAGATTGGTGCTGACTTCACAGTTGAACTCCTAGGGAAAACAGAATTGCAAATTGGATTTTGAAGTCAAACTTGTTCCAGGTGATTTGGTTCACTCAAACACTTAACATTTCCCCTCATGTTTCAGATTCAGTTTTCCATTACTCGACCTGAAAAAATAAATGAAAGAAGTCAAGGACCACATAGATGTGGCACCACTGGAAAGAGAAACTGTGATTATTCAACAGTTATTTTTTAAAAATCACTTAGGAACAAGCAGGCCTTGGTGCTGGTTTGCCTGGTTTTTGTTGCTCACTCTGAGTGCACTTTGCATCATTTTCTTCTCACCTCTAGGTCAGGGGTTTTAACAATAATGTGAGACAGCTGGGTGTAAAGTTCAAAGCCAGCCTCAACAATTGCAGGGAGACACTGTCTCAAAGTAAGAAGTAGAAAGGACTGGAGGTGTAACTCAGTGGCAAATGGCCCTGAATTCAATTCCCAGTACCAAAATAACAACAACAACAAAGAATTGGTGACTAATTCATTATAGAGGACACTTTAACGTTTCTTTCTGCAATAAGGATTTCCTAAATTCTGAAATTGTTGAAAACAAGAGAGGGATTATTCTTAATTTATTTTTCCTTTCATAGAAGAACATTCAAAACTTTTGAAATCTTGAGCATCTAACTCTATGTTAACACTCTGTACAATTTTAAAAATAGTATTACAATTATTTTATTTCCTGTAGGTATTATGTAACACTTGAAGGTTTAGATCACTCGCCAAATCCAATCTTTAATACTATTGAGATTGGAATATAATTTAGTAGGCAACAATAAACAATCCAAGGTTTCATATTCTCTTTATCCTCTAATATATTTTATTTTTTCCTTTCAACTGCAAAAATTAAAACAGGAATTTCTGTGTTTCATTCATTATTTTACCTCCAGTTCTTAAATCACTGCCTTCTACAGGGTGGATGCTCAATAAATATTTGCTGAATGAATAACTCAAAATATACCATTTGAATATCTGAATAAACCACAATCCTCCAGGGATTAACTGAATTTATTGCTCAAGAATTAGGTATTGTTTTATGTTCCTTTTGAAAAATAATAGCCAAGCCACTACTGAGAGAAAACTACAGAGACATAGATAAAAATACTCTCTGATCCACATTACTTATGGATTAGAATAGCATTTCCTGATACAAAAGAATACAAAGCCCTTTTACCTCTTTGCTTGGTCAAATACACACTGGTTACCATAGGTTTTTCCATCAGAACCACAGACAGGTTTGTAAATCGATTGACATTTTTTATTTCTAGGTGGGTTTTTGCTGTTCATGCTGTCCGGCTATAATGTGAAAGACAATCATGTAAAAATAATGTTATTATGAAAAATTATCCATTGCTCATTTATTATTAATGAAGCATTACACATTACCAATCATTTTATTGATTCCTTAAATTTAATTCACAGAATAGTTTTTTTATATTAATGCATTAAAGTTATACATAATGTGGTTCATTTTGGCATGTGCAAAAATATGTATAACATTATTTGCAACATTTTAATCTCTCCCTTCCTCCATCCCCCTGATCCCATTCTTCTACTTTATTGGTCTTCCTTATATGTATCTATTCATTTATTTTTTAATTGGTGCATTATAGTTATATATAAAATTGGAATGAGTTGTGATATAGTTTTCATGCACATAGCATAATTTAGTCCACTTAATTTCACAGTTCTTCTCCTTTTCCTTCCCTCCTCTTTCTCCTTACTCCCCTGTTTTTACTCTCTTTTCTATTTAAAAGATTTCCTTTTTTTAATTCCTTTTTTACCCCTAGCTCTACACATTCACCCCTGGAATATGTGAGTCTGCCTTATTTCACTTAGAATTACTTTAAGAGGTGAGAGATGGAAGACGAGAGAAAGTGTTCAATTTCCAGTAGTTCTATGGCTTGGATTCAAACAGCAGGACTACTGCTTCCCAGTGAGTTGGGTGACAAAAGGAATATACTAAAATTCAAGGTCATACAATAATTTTAAAAGAAAAGTATATTCTATCACATTTTATAACTGCAAGCATAGAGGCAAAGTGCATTTAAGTTCAAACCTGAAACTATAAGTGGTTTATATGTTCAAGCATGATTAAAACCCTGGGTTATTTACTCTAGAAGTCTGCTGTTGACATATTCAGACATGCATTCATGTCAGATGGCCTCAACTTTAATTATTTGAAGACACGTGTTCCCCTATATGCAGAAAGAACAGTCAGGGAAAAGTTACACTGGCGAATGTAAAATACATATAGTCATAATTTATGAATCTCCTTCTTTTATCTGTGCCAAAGAAAGAAAAATGATAAACCTGGGATGATTATGTAGAATTCCTTCAAATAATACCAGAAGGCTTTTTTTGGATGTGAACTATAAAATGTTAGAAGTATCTGAACATGAACCTTGGACTAGCTGATGAAAACAAAGATGGTATTGGGAATGATGGGACATTTCAACAGGGGACTCATTCTGCTCAGAGCCAAGATATTAAATAAAAAAAGAAAAAAGCCTCAGTGCCTTCTCTTTCCCTTCTTATGGATAAAATTAACTAAATTATGTTATGTGTCCACACCTAGACACATTATAATGAAGATGCCCAACATACAGAATAAGGAGAGAATTTTAAAAGCTACAAGAGAAAGGAAGCAGATCACATTTAGGGGTAAGCCAATCAGGATAACAGCTGATCTTTCAACACAGACTCTGAAAGCTAGAAGATCCTGGAATAACATATTTCAAACACTGAAAGAAAATGGGTTCCAACCAAGAATTGTGTATCCAGCAAAATTAAGCTTCAGGATGGAAGATGAAATTAAAACCTTCCACGATAAACAAAAGTTTAAAGAATTCGCAGCTAGAAAACCATCTCTTCAAAACATCCTCGCCAAAACATTACAGGAAGAGGAAATGGAAAATAACAATGAAAACCAACAGTGGGAGGTAGGACAGTAAAGGGGGGGAAATAATCAAAGAGGAAAACAAACCATGTTTAGTAACAGAAATAAACAAATATGGCTGGAAGAACAACCCATATCTCAATAATAACCCTAAATGTTAATGGCTTAAACTCACCAATTAAGAGACACAGGCTAGTAGAATGGATCACAAAACAAGACCCAACAATATGCTGCCTACAGGAGACGCATTTGATAGGAAAAGACATACATAGGCTGAAGGTGAAAGGTTGGGAAAAATCATATCACTCATATGGACTTCAGAAACAAGCAGGAGTGTCCATACTCATATCAAATAAAATAGATTTCAAGCCAAAGTTAATCAAAAGGGATAAAGAGGGACACTACATACTGCTTAAGGGAACCATTCACCAACAAGACATAACAATCATAAATATATATGCCCCAAACAATGGTGCAGCTATGTTCATCAAACAAACTCTTCTCAAGTTCAAGAGTCTAATAGACCACCATACAATAATCATGGGAGACTTCAACACACCTCTATCACCACTGGACAGATCTTCCAAACAAAAGTTGAATAAGGAAACTATAGAACTCAATAACACAATTAATAACCTAGACTTAATTGACATATACAGAGTATACCACCCAACATCAAGCAGTTACACTTTTTTTCTCAGCAGCACATGGATCCTTCTCAAAAATAGATCATATATTATGTCACAGGGCAACTCTTAGACAATATAAAGGAGTAGAGATAATACCATGCATCCTATCTGATCATAATGGAATGAAACTGAAAATCAACGATAAAAGAAGGAAGGAAAAAGCATACATCACTTGGAGAATGAACAATAGGTTACTGAATGATCAATGGGTTATAGAAGACATCAAGGAGGAAATTAAAAAATTCTTAGAGATTAATGAAAACACAGACACAACATATCGGAATCTATGGGACACATTGAAAGCAGTTCTAAGAGGAAAATTCATTGCTTGGAGTTCATTCCTTAAAAAAAGAAAAAACCAACAAATAAATGATCTCATACTTCATCTCAAAATCCTAGAAAAAGAAGAGCAAAACAACAGCAAAAGAAGTAGAAGGCAAGAAATAATTAAAATCAGAGCTGAAATTAATGAAATCGAAACAAAAGAAACAATTGAAAAAATTGACAAAACTAAAAGTTGGTTCTTTGAAAAAATAAACAAAATCGACAGACCCTTAGCCATGCTAGCGAAGAGAAGAAGAGAGAGAACTCAAATTACTAGCATACGGGATGAAAAAGGCAATATCACAACAGACACTTCAGAAATACAGAAGATAATCAAAAACTATTTTGAATCCTTATACTCCAATAAATTAGAAGATAGTGAAGGCATAGATAAATTTCTTAAGTCATATGATCTGCCCAGATTGAGTCAGGAGGATATAGACAACCTAAACAGACCAATATCAATTGAGGAAATAGAAGAAACCATCAAAAGACTACCAACTAAGAAAAGCCCAGGACCGGATGGGTATACAGCAGAGTTTTACAAAACCTTTAAAGAGGAAATAATACCAATACTTTTCAAGCTACTTCAGGAAATAGAAAAAGAGGGAGAACTTCCAAATTCATTCTATGAGGCCAACATCACCCTGATACCTAAACCAGACAAAGACACTTCAAAGAAAGAAAACTACAGACCAATATCTCTAATGAACCTAGATGCAAAAATCCTCAATAAAATTCTGGCGAATCAGATACAAAAACATATCAAAAAAATTGTGCACTATGATCAAGTAGGATTCATCCCTGGGATGCAAGGCTGGTTCAATATATGGAAATCAATAAATGTTATTCACCACATCAATAGACTTAAAAATAAGAACCATATGATCATCTCGATAGATGCGGAAAAAGCATTTGACAAAGTACAGCATCCCTTTATGTTCAAAACTCTAGAAAAACTAGGGATAACAGGAACATACCTCAATATTATAAAAGCAATCTATGCTAAGCCTCAGGCTAGCATCATTCTGAATGGAGAAAAACTGAAGGCATTCCCTCTAAAATCTGGAACAAGACAGGGATGCCCTCTCTCTCCACTTCTGTTCAACATAGTTCTCGAAACACTGGCCAGAGCAATTAGACAGACGAAAGAAATTAAAGGCATAAAAATAGGAAAAGAAGAACTTAAATTATCACTATTTGCAGATGACATGATTCTATACCTAGCAGACCCAAAAGGGTCTACAAAGAAACTATTAGAGCTAATAAATGAATTCAGCAAAGTGGCAGGATATAAAATCAACACGCATAAATCAAAGGCATTCCTGTATATCAGCGACAAATCCTCTGAAATGGAAATGAGGACAACCACTCCATTCACAATATCTTCAAAAAAAATAAAATACTTGGGAATCAACCAAACAAAAGAAGTGAAAGACTTATACAATGAAAACTACAGAACCCTAAAGAGAGAAATAGAAGAAGATCTTAGAAGATGGAAAAATATACCCTGTTCATGGATAGGCAGAACTAACATCATCAAAATGGCGATATTACCAAAAGTTCTCTATAGGTTTAATGCAATGCCAATCAAAATCCCAACAGCATTTCTTGTAGAAATAGAGAAAGCAATCATGAAATTCATATGGAAAAATAAAAGACCCAGAATAGCAAAAACAATGCTAAGCAGGAAGTGTGAATCAGGCGGTATAGCGATACCAGACTTCAAACTATACTACAGAGCAATAGTAACAAAAACAGCATGGTACTGGTACCAAAACAGGCGGGTGGACCAATGGTACAGAATAGAGGACACAGAAACCAATCCACAAAACTACAACTATCTTATATTTGATAAAGGGGCTAAAATCATGCAATGGAGGAAGGATAGCATCTTCAACAAATGGTGCTGGGAAAACTGGAAATCCATATGCAACAAAATGAAACTGAATCCCTTTCTCTCGCCATGCACAAAAGTTAATTCAAAATGAATCAAGGAGCTTGATATCAAATCAGAGACACGCCGTCTGATAGAAGAAAAAGTTGGCTACGATCTACATACTGTGGGGTCGGGCTCCAAATTCCTCAATAGGACACCCATAGCACAAAAGTTAATAACTAGAATCAACAAATGGGACTTACTCAAACTAAAAAGTTTTTTCTCAGCAAAAGAAACAATAAGAGAGGTAAATAGGGAGCCTACACCCTGGGAACAAATCTTTACTCCTCACACTTCAGATAGAGCCCTAATATCCAGAGTATACAAAGAACTCCAAAAATTAGACAATAAGAGAACAAACAACCCAATCAACAAATGGGCCAAGGAGAACAGACGCTTCTCAGAGGAGGACATACAATCAATCAACAAGTACATGAAAAAATGCTCACCATCTCTAGCAGTCAGAGAAATGCAAACCAAAACCGCCCTAAGATACCATCTCACTCCAGTAAGATTGGCAGCCATTATGAAGTCAAACAACAACAAGTGCTGGCGAGGATGTGGGGAAAAGGGTACACTTGTACATTGCTGGTGGGACTGCAAATTGGTGCAGCCAATTTGGAAAGCAGTATGGAGATTTCTTGGAAAGCTGGGAATGGAGCCACCATTTGACCCAGCTATTCCCCTTCTTGGTCTATTCCCTGAAGACCTAAAAAGAGCATGCTACAGGGACACTGCTACATCGATGTTCATAGCAGCACAGTTCACAATAGCAAGACTGTGGAACCAACCTAGATGCCCTTCAATAGACGAATGGATTAAAAAACATGTGGCATTTATACACAATGGAGTATTACTCTGCATTAAAAAATGACAAAATCATAGAATCTGCAGGGAAATGGATGGCATTAGAGCAGATTATGCTAAGTGAAGCTAGCCAATCCCTAAAAAACAAATGCCAAATGTCTTCTTTGATATAAGGAGAGTAACTAAGATCAGAGTAGGGACGAAGAGCAGGAGAAGAAGATTAACATTTAACAGGGATGAGAGGTGGGAGGGAAAGGGAGAGAGAAAGGAAATTGCATGGAAATGGAAGGAGACCCTCAGGGTTATACAGTGGAGGGGGTAGAGAGAGAGGAGGGGAGGGGAGGGGAGAGGTGGGGAGGGGGGATGGTGGAGGATGGGAAAGGCATCAGAGCACAACAGACACTAGTATGGCAATATGTAAATCAATGGATGTGTAACTGATGTGATTCTGCAATCTGTGTATGGGGTGAAGGTGGGAGTTCATAACCCACTTGAATCAAAGTGTGGAATATGATATGTCAAGAAATTTGTAATGTTTTGAACAACCAACAATAAAAAATTAAAAAAAAATAAAAAATAAAAAAAATTATGTTATGTGCATGTACAAATATGTAATAAGTCTGCTATTTTGTATAACTATAATGCGGTGATTTAAAATAGAGAAAAAACTATCTCAATATCCTCCACTGGTATAGAGTTTACAACCTTTGAATGACAATTCCTTTCATTCATGTGAAGTCTGTAAAGTAGACATGGTTGTTTCTCCCATTTTGGAATCAACATAAAGTTGTGAAAATTTATGTTGTATCCCGAATACTGAGAGATTTTCTGATGGAGGCATTATCAGGATGGATAGAATCTCCCTGGGAAAGGAATACTGGCACATGAGAGACATGAGCAGCTTTCCTCAGACAGGATGATGAGGATATACAAGGTATAAGGTTAAAACAGAAAGCAATTTCCTCTAAGATGATGAAATGGAGGTGCTCTGGAAAACTGTTTTAGATAAGACTATAAAGTGGAATGCTCAGACTTACTGTTAAAAAAAATCAGAACTCTGATTAGTTAGCGAGACACTGGAGGTGAAAGAAAAAATCAGGACACAGAAAGAGATGTCAGAGACAAGCTAATCAGATATATATTTGCCTTTTTGCAAAGATGGTCCCCACACCTCAAGCATTTATTGACATCTAACATACATCAAGAGGGACTATCACAGGTGTCACTCATCCTAGCTTTGGGATACAGGTTTGAAAAGAAATGCTAGCTTTATCAAAGTGTTAATGATGTAGTTAAATAAGTAGAGAATCGATTACAAACCAATAAGGTAAATTCTCGATGGAGGAAATCATTAGAATCAGTAATCCTTTAGTGGAAAATCAAAGATCTCTGCATGATCTGGATGGTATTTCAGCAACAATGACATGAAATGAATTCGGAGAGCATACAGGGACGCAATCATGAAGAGCCTTAAATGCTACATTTAGGAGTTTGAGTTTTATCCTCTGGGTAAGTGTAGTGAAGTGATATTTCTAAACTAAAAATCTGATCAGCTGTTTCAATCCTCTGCTCAAAATTCTTTAGTAGTGCTATACTTACCCAGAATATAAAACTCCAACTCCTAAAAGTGGCATTTAAGGCTCTTAATGACTGGGCCCCTGCATGCCATCCAACTTTATTTCATGTTACTATTGCTGAAATACCATCCAGATCATGCAGAGAGCTTTGATTTTTCCACTAAAAGATTACTGATTTAATGATTTTCTTCATCAGCCCAACTCACAATAGCTAAACTATGGAACCAATCTAGATGCCCTTCAACGGATGAATGGATAAATTTTGGCATGTATATACAATGGAATACTACTCAGCCTTAAAGAATGATGAAATTATGGCATTTGCCAGTAAATAGATGGAGCTGGAGAATATCAGGTTAAGACAAATAAGCCAATCCCCCAAAACCAAAAGCTGAATGCTTTCTCTGATACACAGAAGCTAATTCACATTGGGGGCAGGGGCTAGGTAAGAACAGTTACTTCGGATTAGGTAAAGGGGAGTAGTGCAGGGAGAGGTGGTGCTGTGGGGGTAAGAATGATAGCAGGATGAATCAGACATTATTACCCTATGTACATATATGACTAAACAAATGAAGTGATTCTACATCATGTACAACCAGAATAATGAGAAATTATACTCCATTTATATATGATGTGTCAAAGTGTATTCTACTGCCATGTGTAACTAATTAGAACAAGTAAGAAAAATATCACTTCAGTGATTTGCAGATTTTGGATGAGATGGTAATGGAATATAAAAAGGAAACCTGGCAGGGTGTGGGCTCAGTTGATGTGATTCTGAGTTACCACAGTTTACATAGAGGAGTTGGAATGGAAAATGATGGAGGGGAGTAAGAAGTGGAATGAAGGGTGTGATCATCCTTGCTATATGGAAACAATCAACTCCAGTGTTTCTCTCATTTAGTTTAATCAGTGTCATTGCAAATTATTTGTCATCTATTCAGTTAGCCATTCCCAGTCTTGGAAAATAGAATGACTAAGGTAAATTGACTTAAAAAATAAAAGATATATCAACACTCACCTGAATTTCCATTACATTGCCCTTCAAAGGGTGGTCTACATTTTTACTTTCTTCTTGCATGTAAAAAGACCGTGATTTCCTTCGTTGGCCAGAAGACTCTAGGTTCTCTTGCTGGCTTGAAGACCCTGGCTTCCCTCGCTGGCTAGAAGACTCTGACATCCCTTGCTGGCTGGATGACCCTGGCTTCCCTTGCTGGTTAGAAGATTCCAGTTGCCCTAGCTGGCTAGAAGATCCTGATTTTCCTTGGTCATAAGCTGCATCTGTATTCCCTTTTTGGTTCAATTCTCCTGACTTCTCTTGCAAAATCCAAGTTTTAGACACCCAAGGCTGATTCAGAACTTCTGGCCTTCCTTGCTGATCAAAATTCCCTGGGTTCCCTGGCTGGTTAGAATATCTTGGTTTTCCTTGCAGAATAATCATCCCTGGTTTTCCTTGTGTGTGACTACCTTCTGGCTTATTAGATTCCTTTTGTCTTCCTAGAGGATTAGCTCCATTGTTTGCCTCTAGAACAAGTGTAGGTTCTTGATTCCCTTCTAGTTTGGAAACACTTGGTTTTGGAATCTGATTTGAAGATACTGGAAGCATAAAAATAAAAATAATGTTATTTAACTCCACATATTTAAAATAAACAGCATTCACTCCAATTACATTACGTGGTTACCAAAATCTCAACATTTAACCAGTTTGCCCATTTCTAAGTCAAAGCCTGAATTATTCGAACTGGGCCTATGTTCTGGCCCAAATTCCTTTTAATGGTTTCCTGATAGATTCTGTTTGCTGAGTATTTTAAACTTCTTCCACATCACAGACTGCATTCCCATTTTCCCAGCCTCATTTTACAGATGCTTCTATCATCAATTTTCAGGAATAAAGGTTGGCACACAAAAGCCCTCTTCCTTTGCATACAGGAGCCCTCTGTCCATCTTTTGTGTATCGTTCTATGCTTTCTGGAACCATCTTCTTCCTTTTCCCTTGACTCAAAATCAGAGTTCTTCTTTCTCCTTCAGGACTTACTTTCTTTTTCAGTCAGTTTTATTTCAACTATTTTCAATAAAATGTCCTGGCATTAAATATACTCTTTTTGATGATCTTGTTCTCCTCCTCCTCTTCTTCCTCTTCTTCTTTTTTATCATCATTAAATTAAAGAGAACAGTGAATATCATGATTATTTTTTAAAACCTCGGTTTCCTGACTCATGTACTTTGTCTCCTCCTCCAATTTATTTTGGAAGTCCACCCATCACCTAACAAAAAATTACATATTTATTCTCAGCTTTTTATAGATTCTATTCTAAAATAAACTATTCTAAAATAAAAGGGTCTAAAAAACAATGAGGAAGCAAATGGAATGGCTTCAGTGGTTAGTAAAATAACATTCCATTTAGTCTTTTGCTTCTTATTTTTTGTTTGGTCCAAGTGTTTCCTTTCTCTCTTCTCCTTTATTGTTTGACAAGCAGTCCCCTTTCTCTCACTCTCTTTTTTCTGTGTTGGCGGGTGTTACCAGGAATTGAAATCAATGGTATTTGACCACTGAGCCACATCTCCAGCCCTATTTTGTATTTTATTTAGAGGCAGGGTCTCACTGAATTGTTTAGTGCCTTCACTTTTGCTGACGCTGGCTTTGAACTCACAGTTCTCTTGCCTCACCCTCCTGAACCACTGGGATTACACAGCATCTCTCACTTTCTTAATGTGGGGTTTCCTCAAAGATTTTATTAAGGGTTACATTTTTTTTTCTTCACAAACATTATTGGTATTTTTGTTCTTACTTCACATAACTTTATATCATTTCAATGTGGATGGTTCCAAATTTATACCTGAGGCCTCGTTTGCATTTGCAATTTCTCTACTTTATATTTCCATTAGTGAACACAATTGTACCTTCAAATCAATTTAAGTAAAATCAAAGGCATCCTCAGTTGTTGTATACTGAACAAGGTCTGGTATACCACTGCAGGTAGTTAAGGTCCTGTCTGGGCACAGAGATCTAGCAGTTAGTGGCATGTCCTGCTACCCTGTGGAAGTGGGGTGATTGAGTCATTCACCCAACTCAACAAAAAGTACTTATTTAAAGGCTCCATTATTATTGCAGAGCTAAAGTAAGAGACAGATATAACACTGAGCAAGACATTTATGGTCCTGACTTCATGATGCTGAGAAGTCTGGGAGTGAGTATAGGCATGTAAATAATGGGAATTTATATCAGTATGATTAATGCCATAATGTGTGAAGTAAACAGAAAACAGATCCTCCAATCAGGATAACAGAAAGTATGCCATCCTTTCTCCTTTCTAAAGGAGGTGACAAGTAATATATGCAGGATACAACCAGAAATATGGATAGAATAATTTTGGCAAACCCATAAGTATCTTTGAGTTCTAGGAATCAAACATTGTTTATTAACAATCAGTAACATCCAGTAGAAATCAAGTAGAGAGGAGATGAAATGGAAAAAAAATGGGTTTGTAGATAAATTTTTATAATTTATTTAAAATTTTTGAATAGATAGCATAAACATATTGAACCAATTCCTGAAGATACAAAAGTCAGTTTTAAAATAAGTTTCCCTTCCTTCTATGTCCCAAACAACTCATATTTTCTGCCTAGGACACAACACATTTACCATATCTTTGTGAGTTATACCAGAGATAGTCCATGAATCTACAAAGACATATGAATGAGTTTTCACACATGATTGGCAGCCCATCCTACCCACTGTTCTACTTCTTGCTTTCTCCACAATAGAGTGAAGCTTTCTCTATATATTTATTTTTTAATAATAAAACATAGCACACACAGTGCACCTTTATTATTTTCACTTCCTGGCTGCACATACACCCCATAATTATGGGTTTGCCATAATTTATTTAATCAGTCTTCTAGCAATGAGAAACTAGTTTATTTTTTATTTTGCTATTATAAAAAAACAATCAATGAAAATCCTATTAATGCTTCATTTTTATATGAAAAAAGAATAAATTTAAGGATAGAAATAAGAGATGAAATTTTGAGGGTTAAAAAAAGCTAATTAAGATGCCAAATTATAGTTTGATTTCCTATTTTTAAGTTAGAAATTTGGAAAATAATTATCTTCAGCTTTTTTGTTTTACATTTCCTTTTCTTATTTTACAAACTCCAGTATGTTCTTGGCATTCCTCATACATCTCTCTTCTTCACTTTCCAAATCCATATAACCACAAAACACTGTCAACACACTTTCTCCCAAAAGCAAGGGCCTGCTGAGCGCTCACTGTCCTCTCCTAAGGCACTGAGAGTACACAGCAGATACAATACCTGCCACCAAGAAACATGTCCTAGTGAGGGATTTTTACATGTCTTGAAATCACACATTACTCACGCTCCTCCCTTCTCTTACTCTATCCCTTAATTTTCTGTTCTTATTTCTCAACTCTATTGCTTTAGCAGGTTCCCGGTAGTATCTGTGTATAACCTTTCTCACAATGTTCAATATTGTCCCAGACCAGTATTTTAAGAACAGATGCAGTCACTCCTGTGCTCAGCAATAGAAAGCAACTCTGCAGTGCCTTGGATGAGATGAGAACCACTACTTCATACATTACACGTAGAAAAAATTGAAGGTCATGGGTCCTACTTTTGTTACTTCCTTTCACTATGTTTAATATGGTCAAGGAGGAGGTCATACTTTGGAGATAAATTAAAATCTGTTTTTTTTTTTGTATCTTTTTTTTTTAATTTTTTATTGTGGGTTGTTCAAAACATTACAAATTTCTTGACATATCATATTCCACACTTTGATTCAAGTGGGTTATGAACTCCCACCTTCGCCCCATACACAAATTGCAGATTCACATCAGTTACACATCCATTGATTTTTTATTTTTGTTTTTTTATGGGGAACTTTGGGGCTAGGGATTGAACCCAGGGTCTCACACATGCTAAACACATACTCTGCACCTGAACTTTACCCACAGCCCTGGAAATCTGTTTTAATTATCAGAATTTATTATTAAGAAATGTATTAACTATGTCAATTATCAACTTGAGAAATTTACATCTCTGATCTAGAATTTATATCTTTGAAAACAACTTTAACTTTATGGAGAAAAGGAATTAAAGAGAAGACAATATATTGTACGTCAAAGACCTAAGAAGAAGTGAATTAATGGTGACTACTGCTATCATCCACATAACTCTTATAAGACAGGGAAAGTATAATTATTTCTATTTTATGAATAAGGAAACAGACTCAAATATATTAAACAAGTTTTCCTAAATCCCATAAAAGAAAAGATCAGGATCTAGGATCTAGACATGCTTTTATTTGACTTCATAGCCCAAGATCATAACACATAACACAAAACTATTCTTTTCTGGAATATCAGCTGGATAATCTTTTAGACTGAATTTGCCTTTCCCGTTCTTTTGTTCTTGCTTCTCTTCAACCCCAGCAAACTATTCAGTGCCATTATACCCTGTGGCTATTTTATACCTCTGGATCTGTATTTATTTTTTCTGCAATGCCTTCTTCCATTTCTCTGTCTGATGGAGATCTACTGATTTTAAATCTTCCAATAAAGCATCTCTAAATCATTCCCCTTTTCTACTTGTTGACTTTTGAAGCTGTAAGGAAAGTCACTTACTATGCCTTTCTTACCTGAGAACACAGCCAGGAACATGAAGGGAAGGAAAACGAAAGCCCGCATGGTGGAGTCAGTCCTTCCAGAGGTGGTGGTTGGGTGGATTTAAACGTAACTGCCAGTAGCTTCTTTCCAAATAAACCAGGTTGATCACCACCATGTTATATATTTGAAAAATTCTCCACCCTAATTGTTAAATAAGGTCACCATCTTTAAAAATTACAGTGTAACTTTCACAAACTGGAAGGTGTTGATTCTTGAGTGAATTGCCATTTTAAAAAATTAGCTTCACGCCCCAACTCCCATAAATATCCAAACTTTAATATGCGTCTATCAGATATCTTCTCCCAGAAAAAAATAAAATAAAAATGGTGAATTCCGTCTGGGAAAGTGGTAAACTCAGCTCTCTTCTTTTTATTGTTAAGGGTCGTTTATCTTCAGCTGTTATTGTATGTCCATAATAGAGACCCCTCAAGGTATTTTCCCTCAAATAAGTCATATGCCAATTATTTTCCTGAAATTATATATTAAAAGCAAGTAAAAAGGCATTGAGTATTGGTCATTAGTAGGCAAAGAATGCATCCATTAGGGAATGATGATGGGTAATGTATTTTTATGAGGTAGTGAGAGACAATAGAGCTCATGTTAAAAGAATAACATTACACCATTGACCTTCTCTTCTCAAGCTATTACACCAAATAGAAGCTCATGTGCAAATCACCTTGTAATTTTTACTTGATCATAAACTCAACATTATAAGACACTGGAATATTGTGTTCAAGGATGGCTGCCCTATATAAGGAAACTTTGAATTAATTGGAACATGTCCAAAAGAAGATGACCTTGATAATGTGAGGTTGGAGCTCACATGGCATCAAGTAAGTTCACAGCAGCAGGAAATATAAGCTAGAAAAGAACAGACATGGAGTGATAATGGCATGTTCATTGGCTTCCTCATTGCAAGATATTCATATGAACAGAAAGGTATTTTATCTGTATGGTTTTAGATGACATATAAAGAAGAACAAATAAAGCATTTTGGAGTTCTAAAGAAAATTTCAGTTTGGTGAAGGGAGGTGATCTAGATGGTTCTTGCAAACGCTTTCATTCTAAAATCCTCAGACTTAGTTGTTTGGAATTATGTTTGATTTTTCTCTTCAGCTTATTTAGAAGAAGGGCAATTTTGGCCCTTTTAACTTACCTACATTCTCAAACTGTTTTGGTGTGGTGGTGCAGGTCTGTAATCCCAGCAGCTCAGGAGGCTGAGAAAAGAGAATTGAGTGTTCAAAGCCAGCCTCAGCAAAAGTGAGGTGCTAAGCAACTCAGTGAGACTCTGTCTCTAAATAAAATACAAAATAGAACTGGGAAATGTGGCTCAGTGGTTCAGTGCCTCTGAGTTCAATCCTAGTACACTACCCCCCCCCCAAAAAAAAAAAAGAAGGACAATTTTGAAAATTATTTCTCTTAATTGAGCCAGCAACTTTCTGACACCAAGAGACAAATTTAAAGAGTTTTGCAGAGTAAGAAGCCAATGTCCATTCCCCTCCCTCCCAGCATAATTGTCCTCTAGATGGATAGAGATTCACAGGAGTGTCATTAGGGAACCAAAACACCTTGGATTATGTAGGAATGTCCCCCAAACATTTCATTGTGAACAGTTTGAGAATGTAGGTAAGTTGAAAGAACTGTACAGTGAAACCCCAAATACACTCCACCAAGATTCATTAAGTACTATTTTGCTGTATTTACTCCACTAAATATCTGTCAAAAAGTGTAAATTTCATAGACATTATTTTCACATCCAGATACTCATTTATGGAACCCAATCCAGTAACTTTTCAAATAATGAATGGACCATTGTAACTTCATCTGTGGTTTGCTTTAAATACTCAGTGCAATTGTGTGTCCTGTTCCATGCTTTTTCCTAATACCAAGGCTACGGACACTTCAAAATAGCACATGTAATTGAATGCTCTGTAGGTTGGGAACTCTTCAGTGGAAGCTAAAGTCTCATGAAACTCATGCTCAGAGGTCTCAAAGATGACTTCAGTGGATTAACTTAATTACAATATTTATTTCTCTTCTAATCATAGTAATTCTCTCAATTTTAGACTCATATTACATTTTTAACCTTCCTTCACATTTAGGAAGAAAGTGAAGAGTTTGAATAGTCTCAGAAAATGCTCACCACATCCCCACATTTGAGAAGGAAAAAAATGTGTTTTTTGCATGTTGCAAGGGATTCTAAACCAAGGCTGTTCTTTTAGCATCTTCATGGTCATTATACTTGGGTGGAAATAACAATAGGAAAGGAGTTGAATGTCTGTCTCCCATCACCTTTAGCTATGTGGTCTTATTTATTCAAGTTTCCCTATCTCTCTCTTTCCTATTTCTAAAATCACCATTATAATACCCCACTGCTCATTGAAGGAGTCAAACTTCACGAGGTGTTTTGCTGTGGTTTGGAGTTTGGAGGGAAAGCCTTTTTACTTGCAGTTTGGTGACCTTGCAGGGTCTTAGATTACCCTATCTCAGGTAACCTAATTTAATCTCAAGCCATTTGTCAGACACCTAAAGAGCAGGGAATGATAGACTCCCTAATAGCTTTCTCCTTCTGAACACATTAGCTACTCTGTTTCATTTTCATTCTCCCCCCAAAGGGAGCAAAGCTCTGTTTTCTTGGACCTCAGGAGCTGTCTAGAGTTTGAACATAGTGAAAGGGAGAAAGCATCAGCATCCCAGCACTCGTTAGGCTTTCCGGAAATGGGCACTAGTATGCTTAACTGGGTCCAACAAGACAAATTGAGTGTACAGTCTGGTCTTTGAAATATAATTCTTATTTCATGGGAGACACAATGCCTTGTAAATTCAGCATCTTGCTGCAAAAATGGCCAGAGGCAGACTTGTCACCTGGTTACCAAATCTCATTAAATACTTTGTAATATTAGGCAAGAAGCCAAAGGCCACCCACTAAGTAACCCCTGCCTAACTTCAGGCCTTCCCTTGGTTTACTCAGGGATTTGAAGATTTCATACAGTCTTCTCCTCTTCCCCAGGAAGGTGTCAGTTTCAGAATAATGAGTCCCCCAGGGAGGCAGGTGATTGAGAAAGAATCCTGAATAACTTCTCTGTGTTGGCTTCAAGTTCTTAATTCAGTTCACAAACTTGCAATGAAAAATGAAATTCAAATATCATCATCATTTATCAAGGTGACATGTATATCTGACACACATATGTTCCTTTAATGTTAATTATTGCCATTCTATTCATGTCATCCTTTGAGGAAGTTAAGAACACATTCCCTTCCCCCTTCACTTTAGTTGAACCCATATGAAGTAACCAGAGAACAATAAATATAAAATAGGGCATAATTATAATAGTTATGAAGTAAGGTGGTTATAATGAGCATTTATTAACTTATTACTAAGACTTTCATCATATGGAAATCTTTGGTTGTACAAGTTTACAAATCCTAGGGACAAATATAATCTCTTTCACACTCTCAAATTAAGTCCCCATTACCATCATCATTAAGAATAACATTGGCTTTCATTTTAACTTTTTTGTCACACTTTAGAGAAAATATATTTATAGACAGATCCCATGTTGATACTATTTTTAGCCATTCAGGACCAAGTCATTTGTGACTTGTTTCTTAAGCCTTGCTTCCAAGTACCTTTCATATAATAGCTTCTCATAATTAGACTTATAATTATACTTTGAAAGAAGAGTGTATTTTTAGAATATTATTTCAAAGATCAGCACCAACTACTCCTCACATATGCTATACCTCCTCTCCTACAGAAGAGTCAATTCCCCCTTCTTCAAATTTGAGCCAGTGATAATAGGGTGCAATAGATATGACAACATATCAGTATTTGGTCAGCCTTAAGAGGCCTGTCAGTGTTGGATGATAGGTTATTGAAAGAGAAGGGGTGGGGGTGGGGGACTAGAACACAAAGTAGCCATCCCACTAGGTGAGTGAAATACAAGGCACATTACTTCAACCATCTTGAATCCCAATTGAATGTCCAGACAGTACCTTTTGGATCTTACCCTAACAGAACAATGCCTGCAAAATTTTCAGAAATGGAGGAAAATAAATGTGCAACTCTTGATTTCAGCCACTAAGTTGGTGGTGAATTATTATTCTACACTAGATAATCTTTGTAATATTGTTGTCAAGACAATGATTACTTCTCTAAATTGAATTAAGACCCCCATGATAAATGTACTAACTACTACTTATTGAGGCATTTTATATGGATTATCTCACTTAATAGTTAAAACAATACTTTCCCTAAATATTTGATAAAGACATTCAAGCACAGTCATGAATCACTACATTCACAGTTAACTCTAGTAAGGATATCTTAAAATGTAAGTCTATCCTTGGTTATCTGGAAAAGTGGGAATACCATTACTAGAAACAGAGACTTGGAGAACAAGCATTTAGTGCACAGATCATCTTATGAGCCCTTCAGTTGGAGGTCAGTAAGTTTTTAGCAGTGAAGAACTAATATTCAGGTCCAGGCTGGAAAAAGATCTAGGTCCAGCCACATGGAGAAGATTTCCAATTAACTTCTAATTGTAACATTAACTTCTAATTGGCAATGAGAAAGAGATGGGTCAACAGCCTGCATCTCAGAAGCCAAACAAAAGTCTTGCTCAGGAAGGATACAGAAAAAAATCAAACATTTTCTAATCTAACAGTGATTTTAAATGAGAGGTCAACCATTCCATAGTGTGAGAAACAAAATTTTATGTGTATGCATGTCAATATTTTCCAAAGAGAAAGTCCATGAATCACATCACATTTTTAAAATACCTAGGGTCAAGAAAAGGATTGGCAGAAAACCAACATCACCCAACTGCAAAACTTCCTATAGAATTACAGTAATCAAGTCAGAGTGATACTGACTAAAGAATGGACAGATAATGGAACAGAATTGAGAACCTGGAAACAGACTCATATATAGTCAACTAATTTTGACAAAAGGAGCATGGGAATACAATGGAAATACAAAAAGACAGTCGTTTGAACAAATGATGCTGATGCTGAAACAACTGGGAATCCATTTGCAAAATGATTAATATCGACGCAGTCAACACTTAGTGAATGTTAACGATTAATTTTTTATTTTGATCTTTATCACTAATGTTCATTGAAATGATCAAAACAGGGTATTTCTAGTACTCCACAGCACAGTGGAGTGGCTATAGTTCATAATAAACTATTATTAATAAATGGAAGAGAGGACCTGAAATACTCCAGAAATGAATAATGATGAGAGATGGATGTGTTAATAACTCTGACTTCCAGTACACACTGTATATGTGTATTAAGTATCACACTGTATTCACAAATATTTATCATTAGTATGTATAATACAAATATGTATAATTCAAATGTTTATGAAGGTGAGAAAAGAAAGAAAAAAGAAGGAAGGAAGAAAAGAAAAAGAGGGAGGGAGGGAAGGAAGGAAGCTTTCTGAGGCAGCTGAGGATAATCAAAAGAAGAACAATCTAGAAGATATTACAAAGACTGTGCAAAGCAAAATGCAAATTGGATAGTGCATTGTGTGTGTATGTGTGTGTGTGTGTGCTTGTGTTATAAAAAAGTGTTAAGAGGTCATTTTGTGTATGTGATTCCAGAAGTATTGCCACTTTGTGGAAGTGATAAAGAAGCAAACATGGATTTTCTATGAAGAAATGGTTGTCTATTGATGGTGTGAGCTGCATCTTCAGAATATCAATTTCCAAAAATCAAAAATATTCAACAAGGTGCTTACAATTGGTATGCCTTAAAGAAGGGATATAGGTCTCATTTGCTCTCAGGAACCAGGAGCTAAAGCTAAACAGTGAGGCTGACCTGAGGCATTGTGGAAACAGTCCATCTAAAGATGTCAAAAATTAACAAATGATTGCTTATTGAGAGACTTGGGTATCACATAACCAGATCTTCTCCTTTCTTAAGAATTTATAAGTGAATTTTAAATTTTTCTATCATTTTTTATGTGACATTGATAAGTTTGAAATGTGAAATTTTATGATTTTTAAAAGTTGACATTTAACTGAAAAAATCAAAAAGAACCAAGTTAACCATTTGTGAGTTAAGAAAATTTTCCTAATTCACATCCAACTTGTTTGCCATTTGATAAAGTCCTCTGCTTTACAAGCAGTACAATCAGTTATGTAATATTGAAGTACCCTGAATTCTGATTTTATTTTTTTCTACATACTCAATGTGAGAGTTAGAACTATTTTTTTAAATAGTTCTCAAATTGTCTTTTTTTTTTTTGCCTGCAATGCTACCCCCTACTATATACAGCAAATTTCTCTATGTCAGAAGTTTACTAAAATGTCAGCCCTTCTATGAAGTTGTTTCTTAATGAACTTCAATAGTTTCCTATAACTCAGAGTGATTTTATCTGGCCCCCGGTGTGATGAAGTGGCTCTTCTCATTCACTTCATGAAGACAACTTATTTTTAAAATTTATTTTTATTCTTTCATACATGTTATATTCTCTGATTGAAATACCTTTCCACCATATTTATATGTGTGTGAATTCTTTTCATCCTTCAGGACACATTTCAAAGAACCAGTTTTGAATAAACACTCTTTTCAACCTGAACCCCAACTCTTTCCAACATATGCTCTGATTTGTTTCCTTTATAGATTTGTTAATAACTGAAAATATATTTTTAAAATATTTATTCTTATCTACATGGTAAAGCACAAAATTCTTTGGCAGGATCTTTGATTAATATATGGATTGATATCCAGTATATTATAGACACTGAATAATTATTTGTAGAATTAATTAATGGAATAAATAATTCTTTGGGCTTTTTTAAGCAGATGCATATCAAACCATGTTTTGTTTTTAGGTGGGGTACTGGGGACTGAACTCAGGGGCACTTGGTCACTGAGCCATACCCCCAGCCCTACTTTGTATTTTATTTAGAGACTATCTCACTGAGTTGCTTAGTGTCTTGTCATTGCTGAGGCTGGCTTTGAACTCACAGTTCTCCTTTTTCAGCCTCCCAAGTGACTGGGATTACAGGTGTGTGCTACCGTGCCTAGCTCAAACCATGTTTTATTTAGTTGGAATACTTTATCTTTCTGAAAAGTGACTGAAAGTACTGATTGTGTCCATCCATCTCTAGATTTCTAAGAATCTACAACATAGTAATGGATCTACACTTTCAAGCTTTTTCACATTTCCCCAATATAGAAAATTCTGTCTCTGTGGTATGCTGTATTTAACAGATAAAGTCAAGACCAGTAATGTGTAGGCTTCAGCTGCCTCAGAACCTGTTTAGCTGCTCGATGACTGAAGTCACCAACATTTTATTCCACCTGTTATTTATTTCTGGACTCAGCATGTAAATTAAGGCTCTAAAACTAAATGTGTTATTTATGGAAAAATACTTCCCAAATATAGTATGTACTAAAGACTGCTAATTTGTGTCCAATTATGCACTTTTAATTCCTGGGATCCAGCTTTATTTTCCTTGAAGTTCATCTGCATAACTTCTGAAGAACTGAGCACTGATTGGAGAATTATTGATTTGATAAGTGTAGTAATATTCTAGTCTCTGTTTGCATATTGTATCCTTTTGTCCTGAGGTGGTATAACAATTATTCTAATCCAATTAAACAAAGTCTCCTCCATTATTACTTGAAAAGAACATCACTGTAGAAATTTTGCCAGGACCACTTTATTGAAACTGCTTCCTTTTGTGCATAACTGATAGGAAATACATTGCAGTGGAGACTGGGAAACAAAGAAGACATTTTCTAAAATAAAAGCAAACTAAAGACACTTCCATTATTGTAACGTCAAAGGAATCAACACTTCCCTTCATGTTTGAAACCAAGTTTTCCATTTCCTTCCCTGAAAGAAAAAAGAAGTTATTCAGAGATTAAATGGAGTATAGAAAGGCACAAATCCAGACTGGGTGAACTGGGAAAGGGCATTTACACTTCCTAAGCCTCGAGTAGGGGGTTAATAATATTGTTTTTTATATGAGAATTATCTGTAACATACATTAAATACTAACATCTTAATAGTTTCCCTGACTCATATCCCATTAACCCCACCTAAAGGGGGCCTTCATGTGCTTACATAGCTGCTTTGCAGAATTCACAGAGATTTGGGTAAGTTTTCCAGTCAGTGCCACACACTGGTTTGTCTGTCTTTGGGCAGGATTTTCCATCTGTAGCTGGTTTCTTCTCATAGTTGCTGCACAAAGCCTGTAATTTAAATGTCTTTATTTCATGAAAATGGCATTGACATCATTTGCTCTCTTTAAGAATTTTAAAAAATATTAGACTTATGTGCTTAGAAATCCTTCAAAGAGCCGAAGACCAAATGTAAACCTATCCTGCAGTCCTAGCACCTAGAGATACCTTTTGTTAGCATTTTGTTATTTTTCCTCCCATCTATCTCTTCTCTATGTATTATATTGCCATATGTATAAGATTAAAAATAGAACTACACTATAATTTCATTTATTCTTTATCACTTTCTTTTTCTTTTCTATTTTTCATATTCTAAAGACAAGGCTTTGTGGTATAATATTCCATCATAAAAATGTAACATGATTCATTTTACTTATCAATTATTATTATATTCTTCTCCTTTCTTTTTATACATTAATTTGGTGGAGATGAATCAAAAGTTTACATTTGGTGAGGTGAAGATTTAATTTACTAGAAATGTTGAATTTAAAATATATATAAATATATAAATTATATATATATATAATAGTTTGTATTATTATTATAGTAGTTTGTATTCTCTCTTTTTAAACATCACTTAATTTCCAAATACTTATCTGCTCCTTTTTTGTTTAGAACACTCTTTATTTTTATTGTATAAATTCATAAATAAATAAGGTTAATTTATTCACTATTTACTCAGCAAATGCTGAGTATCCACTGAGTGCCACTACTTTGAATTTGTTAGGCAGTATAATCAATGCTCTGATTGAAATCCTACAGCTAAATTTTTCCTCAAGGAAGTAGCTGTTGCCTTAAAAAGAAGGAAGGATCTGGAAAAGACAAAAATAACCATATGTTATCTTAAATTAGATCTTTGGGGGAATTTGAACAAGATGATAAATAAGTGAATTGTTACATATCAGTATAAATTCCCTAATGTTGGTGCTTGTATTAAGGTTATATATAAAGTTAAGGAAGCTGAGTAAAGGATATATGCTATTGTTTGAACTATTTTTACCCCTTTTTTATAAGTCAAATTACTTCAAAGAAAAGACTCAAAGGCAAGTTTTTTTTTAAATAAAGCTAAAAAAATCAGCCAATTTTAGATTTCTTCATCAACATATTTTAAACAATGTTTGTAGTACCTGTGCAGATAAAAAAAGACACATAGTAAAATTTTTATAGCAGGCTAATTTTCAGAAAATGGAAGTGATATTGCATTTCACATCTGATAGTTTTCTTGAATACTCTAGCATTTACTTATTCTTTATTCATCCTTAAATTCATCTATGCATCAATCCAGCAATGTATTTGTTGAGTTAGTGCTATGATTAAAAAGCATGAGGGTTAAAAAATGAAAGAAAATTCTGACTTTAAATAGCTCACATTTTAAGAGAGAATACCAATGAAGTGTAACAAAAGTGATAAATGTTAATTTTAAAATATTAATATTTTAATAGACATACAGATGGCAAAGCAATCCTTCATTGCTGGAGACAACTACAAAATAGAAGTTATTTTTTTCTTAGGTCATTTCCATAGGTGCAGGACACATGAAAAGAGGTTTTAAAAGTTCCTTCTAAGTGAGAAAATAGCACATTTTTCCATGGAGGTGCAGACAATGTTGGTAAATATCTTCCAGAATGAGCAATATTAGCAGTGTGGTTTAAACTTCAGGGCATCGTTGAATAGCAAATGAATGAGGTTGAACAAGGAGATTGACAACAGATGGGCTAGGTAAAATAATTTGGATATTATCTTTATAAAAGGAAAAAATCTATAATTTACAAGTAAGAGCTTCATGTAAAGATAAAGTGTTAGGAAAAAATGTTCTCTAGTGCCACTGTGGAACTGTAGAGAGCATTTATTGAATGAATTAACCTTTTAAACAGTGTTAGATTTGTTTTTCTTCCTGTACATATTTAAAACATTTGACATTCAATCAGAAAAGCAAAATAAACATAACTTGGCCATTTAGATGAAACCATTAAATTTACAGTTAAATAATAATTTACTTTTCTTTAACATTTATTGTAAACTAAACATTCCTCCATAGGCTTTGCGTACATTAGCTCATATGCTTATTATGAATTAAATGCTATTAGTAGCTGAGTTTTCTTGATAAAGAAATGGAGGAGATAAAGGTAAAATAAGTTCTTAAAAAATCAAACACTAACTAAGTAACAGGGCTAGAATAAGAATTGAATATTCTTTTCTTCAAAGTCCATTTTTTCAAAAATAAACTACATTTCTTCATGAAGTATGTTTTTAATATATATATATATAGGCATATATAATTTAAAAATATAAACTATACTTTCATTAACATAGTCTCCTCATTACCCTCTCGTCTATTATTAATTGCAAGCTTTATGAGGGGTTTCAATATGTATGAATCTGGAAACTATGTACTTTGTTTTCAAATCTGTTAAGAGAAATTTAGATCTGTGATTCCCAAATTCTCATGTATATAAAAAATGTCAGAGAACTTTTTGAAATGCAGATTCATGAGCCTTCCTTCCTTAGAGATCCCATTTAGTCCATATGTCTAAAACCTACGTGTAGGGATCAGGAATGTGTATTTATCAAGCATTGATTTTTGACTTTTATGCACATGGTACTAAGATCTAGAGTGACTACGTCCTCTAGGTTACCAGAGAAGGTCCCAGTTTATGATGACCTTCTTGCTATAATTATGCTAAATACAATTTTCACTCTCAAAGTTATCCTGATTTGAAAAATAAATGCCACTTGCCTCACCCTTTTATAGATTACACTGTGATTATACAGGCTTTGAGTGTAAAATCCTTGCATGTAAATGTGTTATCTGGCCCTTTGGAGAAAACAGGAAGTGATTTTCAAATCTTTTTCCTCTGTTGAGGAATGTGCATCTATACCAGTGGTGATACTGTTGAAAACCATGTGTCCTGGGCCGGACTATCATCCCAACTTCTCACCAGGCTGGCCATGTGAGCTCAGAAGATCAGGGGCAGCAGCCACAGTGCTTCCCCATCTAGGGTCACCCTTGTGTAAGACCTGTGATAAGAAAGGACTTGTGTGAGAGAGAAGCACATACCTGATAGCCCTTGTGGCTCACAGCCTCTGCAAAGAGAAAACAGGCACTGATAAATCACAATGAATCAGAGTTCCAGGATTTTACAGTTAAAATAAATCTCAGAGATCTTCCATTACTTCTCTTTTGCTTTATGAATGAAGAACTGATTATATTTTGTGCTTTTATGAGTATATCAAAATGAATCCTACAATGATGTATAACTTAAAAAAACAATAAAAAACAAAATAAAATAACAACAACAACAAAAAGGAACTGAGACCCAGGAAGAGAGAAAACCTGCACCAAGACACACTGCTTGTTAACTTCATGACTGAATGAGAGGCCACATTGTAACCTATCAGTACAAAGCTCTCTTTACTGTGTTTGCTTTCTGTGTGGCTTTTATACAAACATATTTCTCACATCTCTAATGCTATACTTGGAGAAATGAAGACACACTCCTCAGAATCTTTCTAGTAAGTATGTACCTCCTTAGAGATGTTAGAAAGATACTGAAGATTCCAAAACCAAAGCCATTTGATAAACAGACAAGGCAACAGGTAAACAAGATAATACAAATAATTTTGAAATCACTAAAAAGAATCATAGGATTTACCACCATTGCCACTGACACCATTCTACCATCTACTGGGGGACTTCTATATTTAAGTACTGCATGAAATCTTGCATGTGTTAAGTCATACAATCCCATATTTAAAGTCAAGGAACCTGAGCTTTGGGTCCAGTGACTTGGCACCTTGTAAATGTAGAGCCAGGAATCAAACCCAGAAAACTTACAGCATATAAATTTTATATGTATCATTAGCATGTGATGAATAGTAGTTAGAGAAAGGAAGTGACTTGTTCAGTTTTAATGAAAGAGATAGACACAAAGGAAGATGTAAAAGCAAAATCTTAGAATTCCAGTCCTGTGTGCTTTCCACTATATTACACATACCTTTCTCTCTCTTCTCTCTCTCATCTCCCTAATGATCTGAATCTCTTCTTTTTGCTTATCTAGAGATAAGGACGACTCAGTTTTCTGTAAAATGTCTTGAACATTCTAACGCTATTATCACTAGATAATAATTTTTAAAAGGTGACTTTAGATGAGATTCCTAATTTTAACATAAAATTCTCCCTGAAGAATGAAGCTTATTTGTAACCTTATGCTGTTAATTGTGGCCTTTTGAGGAGAACACAATTGGCTTAGGATTCCCAAAGTAGCCCTCTGGGGTCCATTAGTACAGACTTCTTGGCTCATGGGATGTGATTTTTCTTCTTCTTCTTTTTTTTTTAAAGAATTTGATAAAACTATTTCTTGTAAAGTATTAAAGAGAAAATCATAGTAGCTAACTTGTGCATTAAAGTCCCTTCTAAATCAAAAGTATGACAGGTAGTCACCATTATTAATCAACTTTATCATCATCATCATCATCATCCTCATCGTCAACAACAAAAACATCCCATCGTAACTGCTGACATTGACAGTCTGGTCCAGAATTCCATATGTACACACATGAAATGAACAACTCACCTGTGAAAAGGAACAAGCAGGCCAGGCTGACCAAAAGCAGAAAAGTACCTGATAGCTTCATGGTCAATGAGATCTGAAAGGTCTGTAGGAAATAGTCTAATAGAGTTCAACACTGTGGGTGTTCTATAGGATGCATTTATAAGTGGATCCATATGCATGAATTTAAGTACCTATACATTTGTCAGTCACATCCTCCACCCTGATTATGTAATCTATTTCTCAAAAGAGGAGAGACACTGCAAACCAAAGATGCTTATTTCAGTTCTTTTTCAAACAGTCAGAAACAATGGTCAAAATTATGTTTAGGGAAACTGAAATGTACTACAAATAACACACCCAGAATTTTCTCTGTTCAACACACAGTGATAATTGCAATCAAGTCACTATAATTGCAATTAATAATTAATAAATTAATAATTGCAATATAATTGCAAACAATTATATTTTGGACCTGCCTCTAGCACAGCCTTGGGGCCCCAAAGCTTTCATGTAGCCATGACCTGCGGGATGTCTGAACAATTTGAACAAGCACAGGCATGCAGGCACATATGCACTAGAATGCAAGCTTGTGAATTTTTTTCTCTGCTGTGCCAACAGGCTCAGAACAATGTCTGGCACATACAGGCACATAAACACCATTTTATTTTGCAAATGTGAGCTAATAAAAATTCCTTCCTCCCTTCAAAAATAATAACTGAGCAGTGATTAATTTCAGGTGTTACTCGATGTTGAAAATATGGTGACAACAAAGACATATTTATAGTGCTTACATTCTTCACTCCTGAACACTTGAAGGTGGAATCTACTAGGAACTTTGTTATATTTTGTGAATTTAAACACGAATATGAGACGCTCCCAGTTAACAGGAGAAGAAATCAAGTTGATTAAAGCTATACGGAGATACTCAGGCAAGCTCCAAAGAGAGCATATATTCACATATATTCAGCTGAAATTAATGTGGGGAAATGGCAGAGAAGAGGTGCTCATAATCAGGCTTCACAGAGGACTTGGTCCTCTGAGTCATTAAAAGGTACTGAGGTACTGAGAGGTACATAAAGGGACAATAGGTGTTCCAAGGTAGTAGTACAGAAGAAAGAAAATAAGAACAAATGTGCTTTTTTTCTTGTTTTTTTTTTCTTTTTTAAAGAGTAATGTTTAAATTCAAATGCAAAGGTGGATCTTAAGGGTTGTTTTTTTTTTTTTTTTTTACAGGATATCATAAAGAATTCCATGTTTCTTGTATTCAGGATCCATTAAGATCCATAGATCTCATTTTTCCAAATGAATTTCATGATTGCTTTTTCTATTTCTGTGAAGAATGTCATTGAATCTTTATAGAAATTTCATTACCTTTATAGGAATTTTATTAAATCTGTATAGTGATTTTGGTAGTATGGCCATTTTGACAACATTGATTCTGCCCATCTAGGAACACAGGATATCTTTTTATTTTCTGATTTCCTCTTCAATTTCTTTCTTTAGTTTCTGTAGTTTTTATTATAGAGGTCTTTCACTTCTTTTGTTAGGTTGATTCCCAAATAAATTTTTTTGAGGCTATTGTCAAGGTGAAAGTTTTCCTGATTTCTCTTTCATCCTTGGTTTACAGAAATACAATTGATTTATTGGTGTTGATTTTAAACCCTGCTACTTTGCTGAGTTTGTTTATGAGTGCTATAAGCTTTCTAATAGAGATTTTTGGGTATTCTAAATATAAAATCATGTCATCCACAAATAAGGATGGTTTGAGTTCTTCTTTTTCTAACTGTATCCCTTTAATTTCTTCCTTTTGTGTGATTGGTCAGGCTAGAGTTTCAAGGACTGTGTTGAATAGGAGTGGTAAAAAAAGGGCATCCCTGTTTTGTTCCAGTTTTTAGAGGGAATGCTTTCAGTTTTTCTCCATTTAGAATGATGTTGGCCTTGGGTGTAGTATACATAACTTTTACAATGTTAAGGTATGTTCTTACTATACTTACTGTGAAAGTGATACAGGAGGCATCACAATACCAAACCTTAAAGTATACTTCAGAGCTATAGTGACAAAGACAGCATGGTATTGGCACTAAAACTGACATGAAGACCAATGGAACAGAAGACACTAAGACACACCCACATAAATACAGTTATCTAATCCTAGACAAAGGCACCATAAACATGCATTGGAGAAAAGATAGACTCTTCAACATATGTTGCTAGGAAAATTGGAAATCCATATGTAACAGAATGAAATTGAACTTCTATATCTCACCCTGCAAAAAACTCAACTCTAAGTGGATCAAGGACCTAGGCATTAGACCAGAGATCCTATGCCTTCTAGAAGAAAAATTAAGCCCAACTCTTTATCATGTTGGCTTAGGTACAGACTTCCTCAATATGACTCCTAAAGCGCAGGAAGTAAAATCAAGAATCAATGAATGGAATGGTATCAAACTGAAAAGTTTATTCACAGCAAATGAAACAATTAAGAACATGAACAGAGATCCTACAGAATAGGGAAAAATCTTCACCACTAGTACCTCAGGTAAGGCATTAATTTCCAGGATATACAGAAAACTCAAAAAACTTAACGCCAGAAAAATAAATAACCAATCAATAAATGGGCAAAGGGACTGAACAAACATTTCACAGAAGAAGAATATGAATAGTCAAAAATATATGAAAAATTGTTCAACATATATAGCAATTAGAGAAATGCAAATTAAAATTACACTCAAGTCAGAATGGCAAGTATAAAGAATACAAGTAACAAAAAATGTTGAGCAAGGATGTAGGAAGAAAGGGTGCTCTCATACATTGTTGGTGGGATTGCAAATTGGTGCAACTACTATAGAAAGCAGTATGGAGATTTCTTAGAAAACTTGTAATGGAACTACCATTTGATGCAGTTATCCCACTCTTCATTTTATACCTAAAGGACCTTAAAACAGCATACTGATGCAGCAACATCAATGTTTATTGCAGCTCTACTCACAATAGTCAAGCTATGGAAACAACCTAGGTGTCCTTCAATGGATGAATGAATAAAGAAAATGTAATATAGATACACAATGGAATATTACTCAATCATAAGTAAGAATGAAATAATGGCATTTAGCAGTAAATGGATGGAGCTGAAGAGTACTGTGCTAACTGAAGTAACCCAGTTTCAAAAAACCAATGGCTGAATGTTCTCTCTGTTGGAGAGGGGAATAATAGAAATCCATTGGATAAGACAAAGGGAAAAAAAGGGAAGTGTGGGAGAAGGAAAATAGGAAGACAGCAGAATTAATAAAATAAAAATTTCCTAGCCTTATATTTGTATACATGACCAGGGTAACTCAGTAACAATCACAAGAATGGGATCCTAAATAGAATAAGTTATATGTTATGTGTGTATAATTTGTAAAAATACATTCTACTGTCATGAATAACTAAAAACAACAAATAAAAATTAAAAATAGAGAAAATTCTCAGAAATCTTTTAGAAAAATGATCCATAGATCTCTGGAATTAGAGATTTTATCAAATTTGAAAAACTTCTAACTGCTGCTTTTTCAAATATTTGCATCTCAGCATCACCATTCCAGTCTGTGTGAAGTTGTCTCACAACTCACTGATGTTTTCTCCATTCCCTTTTTTGTATTTTTGCTCTGTATTTTACTTCTATTTATTTATAATACAGTGTCTCCAAATTTGCATATCTTTTTTTCTGCAGCATTTAATTGGCTGTTAGCACCATATGGTACACTTTCCTTTTCAATCATAGTGATCTTTTATCTTTAGAAACATACTTGCATTGTTTTCTTCATTTCTTCCTTGGATTTGCTAAATAAACTCTCCTACTTTCTTGAACATATAGGATAACTGATTTAATAAACTTGTTTATAGTTTGGGTCTTCTGTTTATATGACTGATTTTTTTTTCAGATTATGAATGATACTTTCCTGCTTCTTTGGATACCAGGCACTGGTCATACTCATTGGTTATTTTGTTGGTCTTTGGATAGTTTTGTAATTTCCACAAATGAGTTTCATCTGTCCTTTAAAGCACTTAAATTAAATTAAATTAAATTACTTGAAGTAGCTCATTAAAAAAATTTATTTATTTAAGATTGGCTTTGAATCTTTGCTAAATCTCACCAAAACAGGCTTTGGGCTAGGTCCAATTTTAATCCACTTCAGAGACAAGGCTCTTCTGAACACTTTTCCACATGCTGTGCCTTTTGATGCTTTCTACTCTTTCCACTCTAAATAATGTGGCCTTAAAACATTTTCAGTTTCCTGTGAGGACCTTAAAACATTTTCAGCGTGCTCCACTGTGTGTCTTCTCTTGGCCCCATGCAGTTTCTTGGCACACACCTGGTGATCATCATCCCGCTGAAGACTAGAGGGAACTGCTCTGCAGATCTCCTGAGAGGTCTGCCACTTTGTCCCGTGAACTCTATTACCCTGTCCTCCCTTGATGGCGACTATGGAGACTCTGCTCAGGTCTCCTTTCCTGTGCTTTCTACCTGGACACTCTCCAGGAGGCTGACTGGTGCCATCTGAGGAGTCACCTCATTTCTTTCCACCCTAAGGATCCTGGGCTTAAAGTTCAACGAATTAAAAACATTATGTTATATATTTGTCTAGTTTATTGGTTATTCCAGGGGGAAGTGTAAATCCAATTCCTCTGACAGCATTTTGGTCAGGATGAGAACTCACTGCTAAAGATTTTGTATTATTCTTACTCTAAACCTAAGGTGTATATACAAGAGTAACATGTTTAAAAATAGTTATAAAGGTCACTTTTTCTACTTTGTGGAATGTTGAGAGCCACAGCAAAAGCAGCCCCAGCAAACTTCCAGCTGATTGGCTCACCACAGCCCCAGCAAACTTCCAGCTGCCAGCTGATTGGCTCCTCTTTGGGGATGCTCATTGGGTTGTTTCTCGCCCTTTCAGACCACGGAGCTGCTCATTGGGGGACTCTTTTGGCTCCGCCCACACGACCCAGCCAATCGGCCTCAAGAGCGGGAGGAGTGGGGGTTGAGAGGCTCCCAGGAAGCCCGTGGTGGCAGTTGGGCTCTGAGGGAATTCCTGAAGAGCTCCTGTGATGCGGTGTGTATAATGTTCTAAAAATAAAGTTTGTTTTTGCTTGACAAGTGGCTCATGA